TATATATATATATATATATATATATATATATATATATCAAAACTTCATCAGGATCATAAACTACTAACTACATGTCATGGTATACTAAAACAATATACTTTTATCTATATCTCTAACAGAAGAACAAGAGCAGTGCCTCAGGATGGTCCTAGTTGGAAAAACTGGATCTGGGAAGAGTGCAGCAGGAAACACCATTTTGGGACGGAATTGTTTCAAATCTATCGCCAACTCCACCTCAGTAACATTGATGTGTCAGAAAGAAACAGCTGAGTTTGAGGGTCAGATTCTGTCTGTAATTGATACTCCAGGTCTGTTTGATACGAAAAAGGATCAGAAGTATGTCATCGAAGAGATTGGAAGATGCATGATTTTCTGCACTCCTGGTCCTCACGTCTTTCTAGTTGTGATCCAGGCAAACAGATTCACAAAGGAAGAACAAGAAACAGTAAAACTCATCAAGAGGGTTTTTGGAGAGAAGGCAGCACATTACACCATGGTGCTGTTCACTCATGGAGATGATCTGGAGTGGGACACGGTTAATATTATTGATTTTATAGGGGAAAATCAATCTCTCCAGGATTTCATCTCTCAGTGTGGTGGAGAGTATCATGTGTTCAACAACCGATCCCAGGATCCATCCCAAGTTACAGAGCTGCTTATGAAAGTTAACAGGATGGTTCAGCGAAATGGAGGAACCTACTTCACCAACGAGAAGATTCAAAAAGCTCAAAGAGTAAAAATAGAAGCTGTTCTGACCATCATGAACCAAAACCCTGGAATAAGTGTTAGAGAGGCGATCAGAGAAGCAGAAAATGAATCTAAATGGGGTGTTTTTAAAACTTTTTTTGCTGCTCTTGGTGCCTTACTAAGTGGCGTAATTATGATACAAGCAACAAAATGTTGCTTGCAGTAGGGTACAATACAATAATAGTCATTGTGTATCTACACCTTGTTAATATGGAGACAAGGTTATTATCTGAGAGTTTTTCTAATAATTAGCAATATAGAGAGTCTGTAAATTTAAAACCTGTATGATTGTTACTGAAATGAACTCAGCCAGAATGGGTTTTCTCTGTTTTTAGTAAATCAACACTAATGGTGATTCTGTATCAATTATAGCTCACTGCTGTAAATCTTTAACTTCTTCTCCCATAACAAGAGGTTCTGTTAAAGGGATAGGGGATTAGGCTGGGTTTTGCTGTCCATGTTTTAAACCTAAAATGCTTAAAAAGAGCAGGATTTACTTTTTATCTTCAAACATTTGGATCAATAAAACAATGTAATTAAATGATGCAGTATTTTTCTGTGCTCTTTTAAACCCCAAATGTAGCTGAAAGGAGCCAAGGCCATAAAACCCAAAACACCTAACTAACCCTGCCTTAGCAATAAGAAGCCTTTTTTAGAAGAAAACTTGTCGAAACCAAGTTAGGTGAGCAAGCTTCTGATTCAATTTCATTAAGTGAAATTTTTCATTTACATGATATCGTCTTATATAAAAAGTAAAAATCTTCAGTTAGGCCACACAAGCAAGATAACTAATAAAAGTATATATATCTATAATGTTAACAACAGCCATCTATATGTCAACCAATGAAACTGGTGCTAGGTTTTCTACTAAAAAGCTGGGTGGAGAGGTTGTTCGGAAGGGTGACCATGACCAGGAAGGAAACATAGGTCCATGTATACAGCTGAGGTTTTAAATAAAACCCATGTTTAGGTTCTGAGAACCAAGCCATGATGATCAGATTATAAAATAAGTCTAATTTTAAGTAAAAAATGAACTGCTAATATATCTAGCTTTTTCTTGGTGCTCACTAAGCTGAAGTCCCTCCAAGCAGGTTTTAAACTGAGTTGCTGGAAGGCTAGTAAGAGATGAAAAACATTTCTTACAGGTGTCCAAAATACACCACCGCCCAGTGGCGGATCTAGGGGGCGGCCACTTGGGCTGCAGCCCCGGATGTTTCCCCTAGAGCCCCGGATCTCGCTTCTGAGCT